CATGCAATTTCAGCCACCTGATATTTGACAAAGGTGCTAAGAACACACAATGGAGGAAAAGACAGCATCTTCAACAAATGGTCCTGGCAAAACTGGATCTCCATTTGTAGAAGAATGAAACTAGATCCTTATCTTTCACCTTGCAGAAAAGTCAACTCCAAATGGATCAAAGACCTCAATGTGAAACTGGAAACTCTGAAACTATTAGAAGAAAATATTGGCAGTAACTTACAAGATACAGGCATAGGAAAGGATTTTCTAAATTGGACAGAAGTTGCTCAGGAATTAAGGTCAGCAGTCAAAAAGTGGGACCTCATTAAACTAAAAACTTCTGTACAGCAAAAGAAACAATCAAAGAAGAGAAAACCCACAGAATGGGAAAAAACCTTCACTAGTGACACATCTGACAGAGGTTTAACATCCAGAATATATAAAGAACTCAAAAAACAAACAATCAAGAAACCAAATGACCCAACTAAAAGATGGACTAAAGATCTAAACAGAGAGTTCTCAAAGGAAAAATGATGGCTAAGAAACATCTCAAAAAGTGTTCAACATTGCTAGTAATTAGGAAAATGCAAATTAAAAACACCCTAAGGTATCACCTTACCCCAATCACACTGGCTAGAATCAAGAAAACAAATGATACCAAATACCGGGGAGGATGTGGAGAAAGGGGAACGCTCATTCACTACTGGTTGGATTGCAAACTCCTGAAACCTGTATGGAAAACAGTGTAGAGTACTCTTAAAAAACTGAAAATGAACCTACCATATGACCTGGTTATACCATTCCTTGGCATATACCCAAAGGACTCATCCTATTGTAGAGACACTTGTACAACCATGTTTGTTGCTACTCTTTTCACAATAGCTATGAGATAGAAGCAACCCAAGTGTCCCTCAACTGACGAGTGGTTAACAAAATGTGAGATATTTACACAATGGAGTTGTATTCAGCAGTAAAGAAAGATGAAATAATGAAATTTGCAGGTAAATGGATGTATCTAGAAACTGTTATACTAAGTGAAGTAACACAGACTCAGAAAAACAAATGACATATGTTCTCCCTCATATGTGGATCCTAGCACCAAATCCTTTTTAATTTCAGGTCCTTTTAATAAGATGATGCTGTACAGTAGTCTCTTCTGCATGAAGTAACTACCATCATCACAACTTCAGCTGAGCCTGATCACTAAACATCATCACAACTGGGCTTGTTGACGGCTATGCTCATTCATTAAAGAGGGCCAAGCAGGGTCACCGGACCCTCACTGGAGTATCCAGCCACTGTACTCAGCCAACTGTATGTAATTTGGCCGTAATCACACATGGCCTCCTGAATTTGGGGAGAGCTAAAGTATACAATCTGGGGAAGGCTAGGAAGAGAAGGCATGACCCATGCTCTGTAAAGGTTTTCCAGTGGGCATACCCTCAGGTCATACACACACCTCAGCAACCCCTCAGTTATCTCAGTAAGTAAGCTCAATAAATTCATTGGTTCCCCAGTAAAACTTTAATCAAACATTGGCTTGACACTAGACACTTAAAAGCGAATTAGCATTGCTTAGCATCCCCAGGAAAAGAAGTCTCACAACAGATGGAAAATTCATTTGTTAATGCTATTATATCTCATAATTATTAAAAAAAAAGAAAATATAAAAGATGTTAAAAGCATATGGGAATGGAGATATTTTCCAAAATAGACATAAAAAATGAGAAAGCCTAAGCAAGTGATGAGGTCTGTGTAGGTTTGTTATGATATATAAAGAATGACACAAAAATAATATGCACATAATCTTAAAATTTCTATGGTTATAGTTTAGTCAACTAGTTTAAGGAACGAAATATATATTTCGTCAAGGTTTATCTGAGAATATTTGTTTTTTTACCCAAGCCTTATCTACATAGCACATGATAATTAATAGCACAGACTGGTGGAACTAACCTTACTGGACGTTTAACGCCATACTTTGAGGCCTATACTAATATGGTCAGAGGGACTTAAAGGACAGTTTTGTCCCTTGCCCTCCAAGGTTGACCAAGTTCCAGGGACTATGGAACATCTCTCAAAATGTCCTTTAACTGTGGTGAGTCACCTGTCCTCTTGTTCAGGGAGGACACGGAGACCCCACAAGATGGATTTGAACCAGTGTCCACTCTACAAAGAGGAGGGTCAACTTAGAGGAAACAACTCATTCATGCTTCCAAGTGAAGCCAGACATGGTTGAGCAGGACCTCTGACTTACCTTCACATAGATGGAACTGGTAAAAGAAAGGCGCCAGGAGCTCCTCCCAAGCCCATATGACCCCTGAGGAACAGAGCCTTAAATAACCTTAAGTGTGAAAAAAAATTGACTTATTTGGGCCAACTGTATGGTCTTAAACACTCAAAAGGAAAATATAACCAAAGAGTAAAGTCATCAGTATATTTCGTTAAGAGTTCAAGGGATTATATGTCCAGAAATTAGACTTAGATCCATATAAAAAGTTATTTAGACAATTATTTCTCATTGATGATTTTTTCCTAATCAGAAAGTGCTGCTCAGATGTAAGACTTCAAATCTTGGTCTGCAATACTGTAGTGCTCACCTGTACGTAAGAGAGACAACCTGCTACTGTTCTAAAATGGTGGTTGAATTTGTTTTCTCTCCCTATCTAGATGCCTTTGAGAGGGAACAGACACTAATTCTAACTGCTCCAACAGCTAACGAAATACCTGAAAGCAAATCTGAATCCATCACTCTAGAGTCCAGCCTTGAAAGACAAAAGAAAAATGAGGAGGAACTCAATAAGATGCCTTTGGAAGCCCTTGGCAAGAAATTCCAATGGACTTTCATATGAACGTTTGAAAATTGCCCTGTTCTGACTTTTTTCTAGTTCCCTGTCTAGAACTTGTAATGCTAATTACTCTTACCTTTGCTTCTCCTTCACATCTCCTATTCATGATTCAAAGACTTTCTTTTCCTCCTTGAGATAAGAGTTATGCAATTTGGGAGTCTTTATATAGACCTCACTGAAGGGGTACTCCAATTGCCTCACCCTGAGTCCCTGTTCAGCATGGAAGACCAAAGCGGTCTGCATCCTGATTCCCTATTGGCAATTTGGGTAACCTCTTCAGAGGATGGTGTGATAAGAACAGGAGGTAGGAATTGGCTAGGTAGGGCAAAAGGACTCCAAAGAAAAGTAGCCAGTTTCTTGGCTAAAAGTCCAAATGTCCTTGGGCCTCTTAGCAACATACTCCATGCCAAAGGCCAAAAATGTCAAAAATATTTGGGAGCTTTTATCTAATCCTTAAAAGAGTTTAGGGTTAGCTCTTCAGAGAAGAGAATGTTCAGAGTAGCCAAAAGCCCCATAAAAATAAATAAATAAATAAATCAAAGAAGAAGAAACAGTACATGACATTATCAGAAAAAAGTGAGGGGGAGATATGGGAGGAGTTGGAGGGGCGGGGGTGGGCATGGATTTGATCAAAACACCTTATATGCATGTATGAAATTCTCAATAAATTATTTATTTAAAAAAAAACTTCAGAATTAACTGGGTATATGATCATATTAAGGACGTATCCTTTGTCTTTACGGGCACAAATAGTAGAGATAAGTACTAAAAGACACTGATTATGAAATGCTATGTGCTGAGTATGCGTTAAGACAGGATAGTAGGAAAAGGACAACAGCAGAGATGGGGACAGACAGATACTCACTGATCACCGGTTAGCAAATAGACAGCGGGACAGATACTCACTGACCATGTGCTGCAACTGTAGACTGAGGGTGTTCACAGAGGGCTTAATATGGTCACGTCTTAGTTCGTACATGTTTGAATTTTCAAGAATAAGTTTTACTGTTTGTTATTTATCAAAACTAGGCATATGAAAAGGTAATACATATTAAAAAGAAGCAAGAAAAACTCAGACAAGAGGGTCAGACCCACAAGAGAGCCACGAGCCACACACAAGCAAAACCTGCTAAAGATTACCTGCCAAATCATGACTCAAGGTCCTCATAGAGTCAAACAGACTGAAATCACTTCAGTAGAGAAAAAGAACTGTATAAAATAAGATCAAGCGGAAATTCTAGACCTGGAACATAATCATGGTAGTCAAAACTCAATGGACCAAAGCGTGGGGAGAGAAAATAATGGAAAACAAAGAATAAAAGACACATAGGCTGACTCAAACCGAGATGTAACTGAAGTCTCAAAGAAGGAAGAGGGAATGGGGAAGAGGCAATATTCTAAGAGATAGAGCCAAAAACTCTCCATAAGCCATGGGTGCAAGAAGCCCCAGAAGGCTGAGCCAGAACAAACCAGAGCAGGTGTATGATCACAGCACTGATCACCAGAGAGGGAGATCATGCAAAGCCACTGGGAAAACAGCAGGGAGAGAGGTAAACTACTTAAAGGAGCTGCAGTGAGAGAACTCAGCAAGGAGAGAAATAGAGCTAGTGCTGTAGTTCAGTGGTACAGTGCTTGCCTGGCACACACAAGGCCTTAAGTTCAATCCCCAGTGATGAAGAGAGAGAGGGAGAGGGAGACAGAAGGGAAGAGGGAAAGGGGGGGGAGAGGGAGAGAGAGAAGGAGAGGGGGGAGAGGGAGAAGGGGGGAGTTTGGGGGAGGGGGGACAGGGAGAGGGGAGACAGGGAGAGGGAGAAGGAGAAGAGGGAGGGGGGACAAGGAGAGGGGGGAGAGGGAGAGGGACTATGACTTCTAGTATAGAATTCCATCACACAAGAGAAACTTCCTTCAAACATGAAGATATTTTCAGAAAAAATCTAAAATCCTGAAGGGAATTGTACAGACAGAAAAAGACACCCCAGGTCAGAAGCTGAAGACTCAGAGTCTTAACATATGTAAGAAACTTTCAAAAATAAATGTGAAGATAAGGTTAGTCAAAAAGAGTAAAAATTCTGAGTCAGACTGAGAAGAGGCTTCGGGGACAGAGCTGAGCGAGTGCTGATAAACTCTCGGCTCAAGCACCATCCTGGGCTCCAGACTCACCCTTCTGGATGCTGCAGGACAGAAACCATCAGCTCCACAGCCAGGGCACCTGCGATCATGGCCAGGCCTGGGCGGCTTACTGTGCACTGCTGATCCAATGTCCGGTCTCTGGTTGACTGAAGAGAAACAATCACTGACATGGGCAGAATATTCTAGTCCAGGTGGTCCTAGCTGAACCTGAAACTCCCTACAACAAAGCTTTAAACACAGCCAGATGCTTGCTGTTGACAATGAACAGTCAGCCTCACTCTACAATTTCTTGAGAAAGGTTACAATAAACAAAATGTAGGCTATGTGATTAGATGAGGTTAAAAAGAGATCTGGACATCAACCAACAGTGGGGCGGCAAGTCCTTGTGTTGGCATTCTGCTCGTCTAGGGGACTCCATTCGCTGCTCTTGTGCTTGGTGAGTAAGAGGAGGAACCATGGGTAGAAACAATCATGGAACAGCAAGGGACTGGTCCTGCCACTCTCCCTGAGGTAACAGCTCAGAGTGACCCTGGCCCTGGGACTTCTGGGAGCCACAATCTCTATCCTGCTGTCCTGGCCACCCACATATCCTTGTAATTGGGCATCTCACTACCTTGACTGAGGTCCTAGGGCTTAACTACAAACATTTTTGCTTCCACCTGGCATCACACATAAGCAGTCACTAGGTCAATCAAAGAAATTCTAATCTAACTAGGAGCAAATCCAAGAGTTCATTCGATGCTATGAAAATATGGCCTAATAAACAGATATGGCTGTACCACTGAGGGGCCACAATCTGAACCACAGGACACACTATATGCTCGAGTACCACCATGCAGCTCATTAAGCTTCTCACACAGGAAGAAGGGCATCTTTCCTTTATATTGGGACAGTGTAAAAGCCAGTCATCCCAAAGAGATAAAGATCAGGTTTGATAACAGAAGAAAGGGAAAACAGGGTGGTACCAGGACTGCATCAGCTTTCAATAATCCTGAGCAGACTGTTCCTGTAGGGAACTGCAAAGGAGACTCTCAGCAGTGCTCCTAGCTGTTCACTCCATGGCCTACCCATTCTGCACTGAGAAAGGTCAGGGCCAGTAGGCATCCCTCTTTTTGTAGGGTGCCAGATAAGATACAGGAGGCACAGTTAGTGGTGGGGCATGCCTTTAATTCTAGCACTTGGGAGGCAGAGGCAGGCAAATCCCTGTGAGACTGAGGCCAGACTAGTCTATATAACAAGTTGCAGGCCAGCTGGGGCTACAGGGAGACCCTGTCTCAAAAACACCAAAATAAAAGTTAGATTGTAGATAAATAACAGGAAATTTATTTTATTTACTTATTTTTTGAATTTTATGTGTATGAGTGTAGTGCCTGCATGTATATAAGTGCACCCATGTCATGCAATGCCCACAGAGGTAAGACGAGGGCATTGGATCCTCTAGAGCTGGAGTTATAGACAGTGGTCAGCCACCATGTGGATGCTGGGAATCAAACCCAGGTCCTCTACAAGGGCAGTCAGCACTCTTAACCACTGAGCCATATCTCCAGCCCCAATAACAAGTAATCTTTTTATTTTTAGAACAAGTAGCTCCTGAATATAGTAAAGAACATTAATTTATACTAAAAAAAAATCCATTGTTTATCTGAAATTCAAAGTTATATGACCAAGACAAGCCCATACTGCCATTTGGAATTAGTAAGGAGCCAGTGCCCAGCCTGAACCAGAACCCAGGGCTGTAGATTCCTCATATCTAGGGCTATTTCTAAGGTGAATACGGGGCCACTGGAAACCAGGCTGGGCTACAGCTTTCTTACTGTGCTTCCATCAGGATGGATACCAGCTGTATTTGTGTTGTGATGCAGCTCAGCCAGCCAGGTGAGGGTGCTGATGAAGGCTCATGGTGCAATAATGCCATCTCAAATCTAACCCTGAGAGAATTCTTCTCTTTGTTAAAAGATAATACTTAAATAGCAATGGAAGACCAGGGTGTCCCTGCTCCAGTACATGGTGCCCTAAAGAGGAGGCCACTTACATCTCCCGGGGCCACCACATCATTGCAGAAGTAGCAGCCAAGCTTGTACCCAGGGATGTTGGCGAAAAGCGAGGAGCCCAGGTCAGCGGATACTGCAGGGTGGCTTGGACACAGGTCCCCAGCTCCCTGCTGCCTGGGTTTCTTCAGGCCATGTCTCATGACAACAAAGGTGTCAAACCCCAAGGCTGCATTGATGACCAGCTGCAGAGGTCAAGGAATAAAAGAGTCAGGACAAACACTTCAAGCCACAGCTAAGGTCCTATTGTCTACCTTTAAATTTTTTCTTTTTGGATGTGAGTGTAACTAGACTTTAATAGCTAAGTATAATTAACTCTCCCCATTACTAAAGGCTTACAAACTGCAAAAGACTTGACAAATTGTTAACATAAATCATCTCATTTAATTTCATTTAAAACTCCCTACATACACTGCGCACTTATAGACAAGGATGCTGAAAGAGTTCCAGCTCTGTTCTGAGGTCACTCAGCTCATCCGATGAAGGCGAGGAAAATGTGTGTCCATGAATGCCCATACCACTCCACCACCCCTTCTCAGTTTGCTGTAACAGTTTTACTAAGATACAACTTACACACTGTGATCTGTCAACCACACAGATTTTTAAAAACAGTCTATTTCACTTGTACTGTGGGGACTTCTCTTGGTTGTAATTTTAAGTTGTTCTCCCAAATTTCTGATTACACAGAAAGCTCGAAATACTAAAGAAAAAGCATACTAGAGAAGAAAACAAACATCTCCTACGTATGATTTCTAGTAAGTACCTGGGGCACTTCTTCTTGTATTTCCTCCATGTCATTCCTATGCCTCTCTCTCTCCTTACCCTTTGCCTCATACATGATACATAGATGACAGATAGATGGACAACAGTAGAAGCAGGCATGCACAGTTATATTTAACTGATATAAGGTACATTCTTTTGTCTTGTTTGCTTTTTACTATCAACACTCTGAAACCTCTAACTAGGAAAGGCTACATGATTTAGAGAGCAATCCTGTTGCAGGTACCTAAAACTGACACAAAAAAAGTGGAACCTGTGAGTACCACCATTAGAAGTTAATAGTAAACACCATGACACTGGGTGGTGTAAGGCAAAGTCGAGCTACAGTGGACCCTTTGGCACCAGGCTACAAGGCCACACAGGACACCCCCACTCCTAGGGAGGGAAGGTAAAGGACAGTCCTCCTTGGGTGTACACTAGCCCCAGACACAGCCACGCCAGACTCACACTCTACCTTCCGCTTGCTTGCCGCAATAACTGCAGGAAGCCACCGGCTCTCCCTGGTGTCCATCAACAGGAAGATGACGTCGTGACTCTGGATAAGCTGTTCCAGCTGCTCCACATCTCTGCGGGCCTGCTCCAATGTGACACTGGAGAAGTTCACTGGATGTCCAGGCATGGGGATGCTCATGTTGAACCCTCTGGCATTCTAGGGAAGCAAAGCCCATGTTTATGTCTGTTGCCAAGACACAGGCGAGATCTGAGCCCACACTTCCATAGCTGTCAGCAAGCACGCAGCCACTTATAACCAGGAATTTTTCTGCACATAATGCTGCTGTTCTTTCCCTCAAAAACCTGGGCCCTATGCCTTCTTCACTTCTTCCTTGAGTCACTTGTGTGTGTGTGTGTGTGTGTGCGCGCGCGCGCGCGTGTTGCTGGGAATGGAACTCTGGGTCTTGCACGTGATGGGCAAGAGCTCTATCACTGAGCAACATCCCCAGCACTCTTGGAAGATTTCAACAGTGAGTCACATACAGGTAGGTGACCACCTCTGTTGTAACAGGCTTGGTCACATGATATATCTGGCAGGAGGTGACATATGTCTGATTCTCTGTCACCAATACCACAAAGCCGCATTCCCCAAGACTTAAACATTTACAGATACAGGAAAAACCCATGGATGCTCCCCATATCACCAACATACCACTCCAGGGAATATTTTCTGAAGCCGCTCAGCTGCAGCGAGGGCCTTGGGCTTGCCGCCCCCAAGGCAATCTTCAAACTCATACAGAGGCTGCCTCACCGGGTTGGAGTAGGAGATCTTGGCATTGTCCACAAATGTGACATGTCTGACACCCCAGCCCTGCAAGTACATAGAGGACCATGACATGCTTCTGACAAGCATGTCACAGCATGTACTCAAGCATGTCACAGCATGTACTTCTCAAAGCCTCCAGAAGGGGTTTTGCATTTCAGCAGATGGGGACCTCAAAATATAGGAAACTTCAGAAACTGAATTGTGCAAATTCAGGATTTTTGTTTGTTTCTTGTTTGTTTGCTTTGGTTTTTTTGTTTTGTTTTGTTTTTTTCTTGTCTTTTTTGAGACAGGCTCTCCCTGTAGCCATAGCTGGCCTGGAATTTGCAATGTAAAACAGGCTGGCCTCAATCTCATAGAGATCTGTCTGCCTCTGCCTCTGGAGTGCTGGGATTAAAGGCTGGGATTAAAGGTGTGAGTCACCAAGCACAGTTCGAATTCCGTTTTTGATAATGGAAATGTCAACTACTTTTAAAAGACAAAATAATTATATGTGCAGGGCCTGGATTCCCAGAGTCATTAGACCAAGAAATGTCAAAGTAACCCTAATTTATAATTTGTTATTTTGGTCAGTGCCACTAGAGAAATACTGACAAGAGAATCCCAGAACTCCATTTTGTTGTTTCAGAAGGATTAGCCAGGGCCCCAAATGTCTCTGGTTTGTGGTAATGAATAATTACATGTAAATAACCACTTCTCTGGAAACTTACTTAAGACCTCAATTAGCTCTTCAAAAGACAATTTGCAAGTCATTGGCCCTGTGTAACAATGACAGACACTTTGCAGTACTTCTCCAAGCTGGAGAAACTGTGTCATAAGTTGGGTCTGTTTTCAAACAAGTTCTCAAGACAGCACAGACATCCATGTTGACAATTACATTCTGTAAAGTTCTATAGAAATCACACAGCTCTAGAGTTGGGTGGGAAGGATAAAGGCTAAGGTCTCATTTTGTTTTACAGATGTGGATACTGAGGCACAGAAGAGGTAAGAGGTTCATGTCCAGTTAATGGAGGGGAAAAATGAGATCTCCAGAGTAGGCAGATGAAGGTCCCACTTTGGGAGTACAGAGGGGTACCCCAGTAGGTCAAAAGCAAGTGCAGTTCTGTCTCTATGGGTTCTGAACCTATGGATTCAACATGGATGGGGGAAATGGAGGCTGTATTGAATATGTTCCCTTATTATTATTATTATTCCCTAAAAATTACAGTGCATTAACTATTTCTAAATCATTTGCATTGCCTTAGGAATCCTAAGTAGTCTAGAGATGGTTTGAGGTATAAGGGAGCTTATGTGCAGGTTCTATGCAAACACTAGGTCATCTTCAACAAGGGACTGAAGCACCCTCAGTTTGGTGCTCATAGAGGTCTGGGAACCACTGGTCCCCAGACACCAAGGGATGGCTGTGCGAGGTCTCAAGAGAAGCCCTGTTGGGGCAGCTTCAGAGCTAAGATCCTGCTCTCCTTCAACACCTTAAGTCAGGACATGAGAACTCAGTCACACGAATAGTTTTAGGTATGTCAATGGCATTCATTTCTAGAGTGGGGCCTGCAGGCTGGCACCCAGCCTTTCCTAAGTCTCGGGTTGCCTGTTCCTCTACAAAGTGGCTAGTAACTTCATGGTTTCCACCCAGGTTCAGCAGCTACGAATCTAGACAGAGGGGGACAAAGTCACTTGTGCTTGACTTGGGGATATTTCTGAAGCATTTTTGCATTCTACAGTGTACAGCAGGGAAGCAGTCTGGAACGTGTGGGGTAGTGGAAAGAGGGCTGATAAATCACAAGCATGCTGCAGGCAGAGGGATTTCTCACACACTTAACTTCTGGTTTCCCGGAATGCCACTCAGTTTAAAGGGCTAATCTGCAAAGATTAAAGGAAATTACAACTCTCAGTGCTGATATGATACTGAGAAAACTGTCCTGCTGCCTGAGAATGTCAAATCATTGTCATTTTTCTGGAAAGAAATTTGGATACATGTTTTTAGAACCTCAAAAGGGCTTGTGTCCTTGGACTCCTTCTAGCAATGTGCCCTAAGAAATCACCTGAAATTCTGCCAAAGTTGTGATCACAAAGATGCTCTCTGTTACATTCTATCATTGTAAAAAACTGGACATTCTGCGAACAGCAAATCCCAGGGTACTATGCAGGCATATGAGGAGGTGTAATCTACAGGCACGAACAAGGTTTCATAGGCATCATTTCTAATGACATGGGAAACTGTTCATAACTGTGTTAACTGGTAAAAAGAAGAGCCATTACATATCCAACCAGACTGGGAATGAGAAGCTGGGCCCCATCATGAGCACTGGGAAGAAGGTGCCTCTTCTAGCTTATGAATTCATGGTCAATTCAAGTAAAATTGAGCAGCATTACAGGATGGATGTGCGACACAGAGCCCACAGGGGGACTTGGGTATGTAAGGGAGAGTTTATTGAATCAGCACCATTAAACTGACAACCCATTTGTGGAAGAGACATTAGACTTTTGGATGTAACCATATAAAAGCAAATTACATCTCGACAAAGACCTAACCACAAAAACTAAAGTTTTTCTATAAAACTGAAAAGTCTTTCTAAGGAGACAGCACACTTAATATAAAATGAAAAGATCTTTCAGAAGGATAAAAGTACTTTGTATTTTTATTGAGTGAAATATTGGCACATGACAGGAAAAAAAAAAGGGTAATATCCACAAGAAAGAACTCTCTGCCTATGAAAGAAACACAACCACTGGAACAGGGGTAGAAGAAATAAAGTTCACAGAAGAAATAAAGGCAGATCCTCCTTAAACAAATATGTTAAAATGATAAAATGTTACTTTAAAAAGATTTATTTATTTATGAGTATGTATGTATACCTGCAAGAATTTATGTGTACCATGTGTACAGGAGCCCGCAGAGACCAGAAGAGGGCATCAGATCCCCTGGAACTAGAGTTACAAATGGTTGTCAATCACCATGTAGGTGCTGGGCACCAAACCCATGTCCTTTATAAGAGTAGCTAGCGCTCTTAACTGCTAAGCCATCTCGTGAGCCCCTAAAATGTTACTTTGTTAACTACCTAAACTGACAAAGATTAAGACGTTGACACTAGTGGGGAAAGCTCTGTCTCCCACAGGCCTCTAGTGAAGATTTCAGGAAAGTAACTGAGTTTAAAGATATGTACATAAGCACGCGCTCACGCTCACTCACACACACACACACACACACACACACACACACACACACGAGAGAGAGAGAGAGAGAGACAGAGAGAGAGAGAGAGCACATTCTAAAAGAAAAATTCTAAGTCTAGAACTTTTCCCCCCCAAAAGAAATAATCTCACAGATACGCATAGAATAAGCCAAAGAATTTCCATTTCAACATTCTCTAACAGAAAAAGGAAAATCCCTGGAAATTGATTGACCAAATTGAGGGCACAGTCTTATAACAAATTGACAATATTCTTGGTATGGAAACAGAAAAGTTGTCACAATTGCTTTTCCTATTGAGTAAAGAATCAATCTTTGTATAGACAGCAGGGTAGATCCAGTCTGAAAATATAGAGGCGCAGGTAAATAACAAAACTCTGAGAGGTCCTGCTTACCTGGTATGGGGTAACAGTTGGCATCAATGGTCATAAACACCACATCCTGAGGTAGGAGGTTTGATTAATTGTGGGAAATGGAGCAGGGGCTGGAGGGAGACTCTACTATCTCATAATGAAAGGACTGAGGGAAAGGTAGAAGGATGTGGGAAAGAGAAGGGCAATTGTGGATCATAAAACATGAGGCCACAGCTTGTCAGCACTGAGGCCTAGAACTCACCATCAGTATCCTAGCCACATTACACCCCAGGGTACCGGCTCCCAGCAGCAGGCACTTGACAGATACGACCTTGTCCAGATCCAAGGTAGGGACCAACCTCCAACACATCAGTTTGAGATTTAGATCTACGGATGACTCAGCCAGCCTAGAAAACCAGAGATTGATGTGCCCAGTGAATCACTCATTGGTACCCAGTGTTGTCCTAAAAGATAGAAATTGGCTATGGGGTATAGCCAATATAGATAAGATATAAATAATTAGCAATTTAGAATCAGAGCAAAACCACACTGAAGCTTATACGTAAGGGGGAGGACAAGTTACCATACAGAAAGCACGCCAATGTCCTGTACATTGCAGTAGGGTAGGGGTAAAAACCACTGAAGTGCACATGGTGGCACATGCCTTTAGTCCCAGCACTGGGAGGCAGAGGCAGGTGGTCTCTGTGAGATGGAGTTCAGCCTGGTCTACATAGCGAGTTCCAGGGCACCTGGGGCTAGAGGGAGACATTGTCTCAAAACAAAAACAAAAAACAAAAATTTAATACTGAACTCCTGACAGACAAGGTGAAAAAGGAGGCCAGATTAGTCACAAACTGCTTGAGAATAAAATTCCAGCAACTTTAAAGAATAGCTGCATCCCCCACCAAGTACCGGACACAAAATTCTCCTGTATCTCCTTAATAAAAGGCACATTTATAGGGCTGGAGAGATGGTGCAGCGGTTAAAAGCTGACCGCTCTTGCAGGGGACCCGGGTTCGATTCCCAGCACCCACATGGTAGCTATGAACCGTCCTTAACTCCATCCAGTTCCAGGGGAATCCGAAACCCTCTTCTGATCTCTGCGGCATTGCATGACACGGGTGCACTCACATACATGCAGGCAATACACTCATACACATAAAATAAAAATAATAAATTTTTTTTTTTAAAGGCACATTTATGGGGCTGGAGAGACGGCTCAGCAGTTAAGAGCACTGACTGCTCTTGCAGAGGACCCACGTTCAATTCCCAGCACCCACATGGTGGCTACGAACCGTCCTTAACTCCAGTTCCAGGGAAATCCGAAGCCCTCTTCTGACCTCTGCGGCACTGCACGACGAAGGTGCACTCACATACATGCAGGCAATATACTCATACACATAAAATAAAAATAATATTTTTAAAAAGGCACACATGATCACCCTTAAATATAATATGATTTTATGAAATATTTCTACTAACATCCTCCAGTGATGGCTAGGGAAAAGCTGAACAGCCATGAACAAAGAACTCAGAAGTTGGCAGATCTCTGTGAATTCCAGGCCACTCTGGTCTACATAGTAAGTTCCAGGCCAGCTACCACAGATACACAATGAAATCCTGTCTCAAACAAACAAACAAATAAGAAAAGGCAGTGTGTCTGAGACTTTGAGCTGGAAGCAAGTTGAATTCAGAGTCTCTATAGAAAAGACACTGTTTACTCCTCAGGATACCAAGCACCCCACATTTTCTCCTGACCAAACTTAAAGAAAGTTGTGGCACTTGTCACAAATTGCATCCCCAACTGATTGAACCACACAGCTCAGTATCGACCTGACACAGCCTGGGAACCCCACTGGAGACAAGCATACCCCGAATCTTGTCTACCTTTTGGGGTCCATGCATTCGCTGAGGTTCACCATCCTTGGCCCCATGCCTCCTTTCTGGCTCTTCTCCCAGCCAACTGCTTTAGGACAATCTTAAGGCAAATATAACAGGAAACTTAATAAAAGAGGAAAGAAATGAAAACAAGCTGAACAGCAATCTGGCTTTAAAAAGGTCAGTGCTCACAATGACTGCTGCACCTTGACAGGACGTTAGCCCTCCTCCTTCCCAGAGAGGCGCAGGCCTCAATTTCCATCTACTTGCTGCAGCTGCCTCTATCTCAGCAACAAGTAGCCTAGTGTCAGGACCATCAAGATTGGCTTGTGAAGCCCAACTCTCAGCTTCTGCCAGGCCTAGAAGTTGCTCAGAAAAAGACTGGCATTTATGATGTGTAGAACATCTTGAATATAATATGATTTCATGTAACATTTCTACTAACATCCTTCAGTGATGGCTAGGGACAAAGCTGAACAGGGGAGCACTCTACCTAAGCAGGACAAGTCAGGGTAACTGAGCATACCATCCATGCATTTCCTATTGGGATCTGAACTGCTAAGTCATGTGTGTCCCTTCTGGTCCCCATTCTCTGCTCAAGCTCTCAACTGTCACAATACAGCAGTGTACAAATAGAACACAGTCCAAGAAGACTGTGTGTGTGTGTGTGTGTGTGTGTGTGTGTGTGTGTGTAGATCACTCTCCTTGATCATTCTCTATTTAGGGTCTCTCACTGAACCTGGAGCTCACTGACTCAGCTAGGTCGGCTGGCCAGCAAGCCCCAGGGGTCCTCCTATAGTCACCCAACCCACCAGAGCTGGGATTAGAGATGCACACCACTATACCAGCTTTTACATGGGGAGCCAAACTCAGCTGAGACATCTCCCCAGCCCTGCTCTGTCTCCATGTGGTCTTACTATGTAGACCAGGCTGGCCTCAAACTCACAGAAATCCTCCTGCTTCTGCCTCTCAAATGCTAGGATTAAAGGTGTACACTACCACACCTGGCCACAGTGTCAACTTGACACACTTGGGTGGAGGGAACCTCAATTGAGGAATTTCCTCAATTAGATTGGCCTGTGGGCATGTCTGTGGGGCATTTTCTTGATTATTGAGTTATGTGGGAGGGTCCAGCCTATTGTGGGCATGGGCCAGAGGAGCAAGCCAGTAAGCAGCATTCCTCCATGGTCTCTGCTTCAGCTCCTGTCCCCAGGTTCTTGCTCTGAGTTCCTGCCTTGGCTTCCCTTGATGATGGACTGTGAGCTATAAGCCAAATAATCCTCCCCAAGTTGGTCTGGTCAGTGTTTTCATCACAGCTATAGAAAGTAGCCAAGACAGATGCTGGTGCCAGGATCATGGGGTATTGCTGTGATAGAGCTGACAATATGTGATTGGGAAGATTGTGAAAGTTTTTGGAGCTTTGGACTGGAAAAATGCTTAAAGCTCAGTGAGCTGTTCTATAGGGATTTGGAAGTATAAAGCTGAAAGGTGTAGACAATGGAGGTCTGGCTTGTAATGCCTCAAAAGGAAGCAAAGACTCTCAGGGCTGTTTGTGTTGAATTAAGAATTTTTGGAAGTAAAACCTTTTATGCTTTACTGGGACAAATGATGATGGTCACCTGGGACTGAAAAAAATCAGCCGTGAATTACAGCTTCATTGAGGTGAAGCCTTCTGGGAAGTATTTCCTCAGGGTCAGCGCACAGAAACTGTGGTAAACAGGCTCTATCTCTAGCTGGAAGTATGATTTTGTAATGTGTAGGAGTCTTCTACAAGGTACTTATTTTGAAGGCGTGAAGGGGTCATAGAGAGGATCTGAGGCTTGGAATTGTGTGAGGCCAGAACAGGCCCTTGGTAAAGGTGCAGCCTCAGCTGCAACAGAGACCCCAACATATTGGAGATACCGAGACCATGGGATGATGACCAAGAGTAGCAGCAGGTGTGGAGTGGAGCTGGCTTGAGCCTACAACACAAGCTGTGTGTGCTATAGATGACAAAGCCAGAGACCTGGAGCTGCCCCTTGGAGCCCAGAAGACTGTGCCTGAATCCCAAATGTCTGGCCTTGAGCTACTTTGCTGGATGTTGGTTTTGCTTAAGTATGCCCAATTCTTCTCTTTTGAAATAGTATTTAACTTGCTTTGGATTTTATAGGAGGCCACAGTTAAGAGACTTTTTAAAGAGACTCTGAACCTTTAAAGTGTTTGAATTTTTAATAATTGTGAGACTTTTAAAGTTGTACTATTTTGTTGTGATATTAACATGAGATCTTAGGGATAAGAAATGGAAAGGATGTGTGTGATGTGTTTGTGTGTCAAGTTGACAAGGGGTCAATTGTGCTAAATAGCTTCAGTTGTCAACTTGACACACCTGGGTGGAAGAAACTTCAAATGACAATTGCTTCCATTGGATTGGCCTGTGGGCATCTCTGTGGGTCATTTTCTTGAATGTTGAGTGATGTGGGAGGATCCAGCCTATTGTGGGTAGTGCCACCCCTGGGCAAGTGGGCCTGTGTTGTGTAAGAAAGCTGGCTGAGCACAGGTCAGAGAAGCAAGCCAGTAAGCAGCATTCTTCCATGGTCTGTGCTTCAGCTCCTGCCTCCAGGTTCCTGCCCTGAGTTCCTGCCTTGGTTTCCCTTGACAAGGGACTGTGAGCTAAGTCAAACTCTCCTCCCCAAGTTGATTTGGTTAGTTTTTTCATCACAGCAATAGAAAGCTAACTAAGACAGGAAGCTCTTGAAAACCTGAATTGAAAAGCTACTTGTGTGAACGTGTATGGTGTTCCCTAGCTTCCTCCAGCACTATCTGAACACCCATTACATTCTCATGGACACTCAGAGAAATGGTGCCTGGTCTGTTGTTGCTACTTTCTCTTGCAGATCTGTTACTCTGTGGAAGACTTGCCATATCCTGGAGTAAACAGCAGCCTCGCTTCCTTGTGAACACAGCCTGTGAATCCCACTCTAGGGGCTACCAGCTCTTACATGCCCTGCTGTTGTCCTGGGACCTCTAGCCTCTCCTTTTCTCAATGACTCCCTCTGTTCAGAATAAAGCTTCAACTCCTGAGCAGGGAGCCTCAAGTTACATTTCAGCATGATGCCCACTTTAAGCAAAGGGACTGGGGTGGGGGCATGGGAGGGTCTCGGTGGTAGAGCAATGCTTAGCATGCCTGAGCTGTGATGACAGCTTGATTCTATCATTACACCACACACACACACACACACACACTCACATAGTTATGCTCGTACATGCTGAAATACATGCACAGACTTTAACATCACATAATCATGCATGCTCACTCACATTGACATACACTCATTGACACTCAAACTCCTGTACATTCAAACACACTAACAGCCACAAATACTGTGGGTGACACATACAAACTCCATCTGACAGTGTCACACGAACAATTATGCACGTCTACACATCCAAACATATGTATTGCATGCACATACCCAAAGTCCACACCCCAAAATGCACACAAACACATATGCACACTCAAATGCATACACACATGTGCATACTGACTTTACACATCACTAACATACACACATCACTAACATACACCCAGACACAAATGTACTCAGTCACACAAGCATGTACATACTCACCTATACACAAACTCACATGTATCCACTGCACACACAAACATAAACCAACACATGCAACACACACAAACATATTCACACAGATGCTCATCCACCCAGGCTAACACAGAATGTGCACACTCACATACATTCATATATGCACTCATACATCCAGTCGTGTCCACACCCACAGTCACACTCTCATATACTCTCATACTAAGATACATGGCACACAAATGTGCACATGCCAACTCGCACATAGACACACAGGTTCAAATATGCACACGCTGTCACATTCACATAGTCACATGTGCACACACGCTAACACACATGTTCAATCATGCACATTTCCAGTCACTTCCATACACAAGTGCAAATATGCATACACACACTCAAACATGCTCATATATTCACATGTACATGCACATAAATGTTCTCACATGAGCTTCATACATGGTCACAAGCACACCACCCCAAACCATACACACAAAACAATACCCACTCACATGCACACAGAGACACATGCACACACAATCACACAAGCCCTCATGAACTCATTTGCACACATCCACATGTGCACACTTAGTCACACACCTTCACAATACTAATGTGTATACACATACTCACACACGCACTTCGTAAGATACTCCGGCTGAGCAGGAGGAACTCCACGCGCTGGCTTCCTTCTAGGCTGTACTCAGCCTCTGCTTTCCTTGAGAAGCTTGCAGCTTCTGGTTTTTTAATAGTATGGTCCACACCATTATGGCTCCTAGAAAGCGGTTTCCTTTCCCTGTTTTTAGCTAATAGCATGAGTAAGGGGAAACCACGGCTCATTATTCCTTGACAAGTACTTGGACCCCAACTAGACCCGGGTGCCATTCAAGCAAGGAGCTGGAGGACAGATGCACCTTCCCAAGTGTGAACCTGAGCTGTGCAGGAGACCTTCCTCCCAGGGGTGAAGGTGGCAGGACTCTTGCTGGGGACGAAGGTGTTTAGAGCTCCTAATTCACCTTTTAGTGAATCTGTCTTGTAAATATTATGCTGAATTTAAAAATGCTTCTCTAGGAGCTGGAGAGATGGCTTAGCAGTTAAGAGCACTGACTGCTCTTGCAGAGGACCTGGGTTAGATTCCCAGCACCCACATGGCAGCTTAACTCCAGTTCCAGGGGAATCCGATACCCTGTTCTGACCTCCGTGGTATTGCTTGACACAGAGCACTCATGTACATGCAGGTAATACACTCATATTAATAAAATACTAAAACAAAGAAACAAAAACGTGCTTCTCTAACACACAGCACAGCAACTTGAGATCTACAGAACCATCATCTAGCACTTCAACCAGGAGCACCAGCCCTGGCTTCCTTCTAACCTTCTTTGTAGTAAGACACCACAAGGCCAGACATTCCAAATGAAACCATCTACATACTTAAAAGGGTCCCTCCCTCCCTTCTTTGCTTCCATTTTGCTAGCTTTTGTTTTGTTGGGATGGGTCTTATGTAGCCCAAGCTGGCCTTACTCATTATGTAGCCCAGGCTGGCCTTGAACTCGTGCTCCTCTTGCTTCCATATCCCAAGTGTTGGGGTTACAGGTGTGCACCACTGTACCTGGTTGGTTACAGACATTACTAAGAAAATTAGATAAACTGTAAGCTGACTAATAATGAAAACTATTAAATGTGAACATATAATTTACATATCTGCTTCCATATAATCCATCCTCATGCTATACACTCCAAATTAATAAGGAAATGTGTTTGGGGGAAATGAGATGGAATCCACCCACAGCTGGGAACCAGAAAGAGGATGGGGACAGGAGGTGAGAAGAAGGGCTTATACCCCATTTCCAGCAGTGTCCATGCCTCCTTTTAACTGGTCGCTACAACCGCTTTCTACCAGCTATAGAGTAAGGAACAAAAGGCCCAAATATTTAACACTTCTCATACCACTGCCATTCCAACTACAGGATGCCTTGGAGCTAGAGCCATGTGTTGCTTAACAACAGGAGCATGTTCTGAGAAATGAGTAGCCGGCTGATCCCTATTCTGAGAACATCACAGAGTGTACTTACACAAATTAAGTGGCCATGAGGTCCCTAGGCAACAGACTCTTAGGGGACCACCATGGTATGTGATGTGACTTCGTTATGCAGCACAGGACTAGACTGAAAAGCACTGCCACGCGAACGCCCTAGAGTTCATATTATGATGTGGAGGACATCCTTATAATGCTCTGTTTATTACAAAGTTTTACTTGGAGTTAAAGGGGAAAGTCATTAATTTACAAGTAGAAGAGAAGCTGCCCTCCTAAATGAAGTAATCTGTCTTCAATACTGAGTATAAAGCAGATGGAAAACAGGAAGCCTTCATCAGATACACACACACACATATATACATATACATACATATATATATACATACACATACACACACACACACACACACACACACACACATATATATATATATATATATATATACAGGCCAGGGTCACACTGGAGTGCGGAGCAGAGTGGCTCAGCTCAGACCTGAAAGAAAGCACCTCCTGGCAGGGTGAGGGGAGAGGTGTGGAAAGGGGCCTGATGGCCAATGGGCCTGCCTCCACCTTCTAGTGACTATCAATTCCTCAGACTATCTTTAAGTGGAAGCTTAATAAAGTAAATGGCATCTAAATGAACATGTCAGGAGTGCTATTTTAGGAGGTGCCAGAAGAGGGCACCAAGCCAAATGCTAATCTGAAAGGCTCTGAAGGGACCAGCTTCCAACCTGGACCACACAGAGGACTCTAGCCATCACAACAGTTGTATTACCTAAACATCACATGAATGTGGGGGTTCATTTGGAAAGAAGTATGCATAGTGCTGATGTGAATAGTGAGAACAAAATATAAGGAGTGAGCGCCAGCCCAGGCTAGACACTAAGCTTGGCTCTCACACAGGACACATGCTGCATGTGCAACAGGCCACAAAGTAGACATTCTCCTCCTCCACTCAAACTTGAGCATGCCTTCTACCTCTTTAAGGCATATATGAAAAGATAAGGATGAGCACATACCTATATGCATATGCATACACATATACACATCTAGCTCTCTCTATAAAATGTCTCTCAGCCTAAGTTTCCCAACTTATAAAGCAGGGATGAATGCTAACACCCGCCATGCAAAGATGAAGGAAGATACTGACTGGGGAAAGACAAATGGGGCTTTTGCTGACTGGTTTCCTATGTGAAGAACAGAATCACACACAGCTTCAAACATTAAACAGATGAACATGTGAGTGTATGAATCGTTTTATCCTTCCTTGAGGAGATTTCATGTCAAACAAAAAAAAAGAAGAAAAGAAAAGGAAAAAGAAAAGAAAGCTAGGGCTAGAGCATCCTCGAGACAGAACAACCTGGAGGCGCCATGCTGATGCCAATCTCTGTATTTGTCGGGGCTGAATAGAGCCATGCCTTCGGTTCCAGGGGGTGCTTGCCCTGGCGGTGAGGGGGAGCTGAGCCTTGCTCTCCCTCCTGCTGCCATTGTGAGGGGATGAAAAGAAAGCTGGGTTTCTGATAACTGATAATTATATGCATTTGCAAAGACTGGCAAATTACCTGGGCTAAATGCCATTTCTGGAAGTTTCACTTCAAAGATGATGCTGTGTGCCACGTCTCTCACTCCCTGCATGGTGCGGTCTCGGAAGCAAAGGACTTCGAGAGCCTGGAAGCTGCTGCTCCTGTTGTTGCGCCCCAGATTTGTGTTTGTTTCATTTAATTTTCGTGAAGGAAGGAAGAAAAAAAGAGTTTGCATGAGTGTTTCAGCAAACAGGCTGAAGGGAATTCAATGCATGCAATGATTCCTCTCTGATCCCCCGGACAGCCTTGACCTCAGAGAGATCTGGAACACATTCCTGTAGGCAACCTCTCCCAATGTTTAGGGCCTGGGATTTCTTTCTAGATGAATTTCATATAGTACTCACACAGCAGAGAGATAATTCTGACAAAGGAAGCTTCTGAAATTCAGGGATGTTCCCAAGACCTTAAAAAGAACCCCTAAGACAGGAGCTCCTCCCCATCTGAATCCCCACTTCATGAAACGGTCCTTCACCAGCAGCCAGGAGATGTGCTCACAGCAGATACACTGAGCCGGGTGAGCAGCTAGATAACCAGCCTGTCTCTGGGAAGAATCGATAGGTATCTTCATATTTTGAAGCAAATATTTTTTTTTTAAACTTAATAAAGAAGACACAAAGAAAAGCACACAGTCCTCAGTGAGAAGGAGCTTGGTCCATGCCTACCTACAACCATAATCACCCTCTAGGTCCCCACAATGACTCTGCCTGTTCTGATACATAAGTGGAGCCATAAGCATGCATCCTTTCAAGGCTGACTTATTTCACTCAATATTTTGTTTGCAAACCCACCCATGGTGATGAGTTTGGGAACTGGAGCAGATTCCTACAGCAGAGCACACTCTGTAAGGAACCTCTATACCTCTAACATCCACTTTGGCACTGAAGGACACAAGGCTCAGTCCTAGTTTGGGGCTCGTAAGAATGGTGTGGCTATACACAGTGCATGTGCCTTGTGTCCACGTCTGTACCCCTAAGCATAACATTCTAAGCAGCGCTGAGTCAGGGGCATTTTAAACTCAGACAGATCCTGCTGCACATTTCACAATGACTTTCAAGAATTGTGATGGCTCCCCATTCTCCCACACTTGGTAAAGTCACTTTTGTTAAGTGATTTTGGTGGGTCTGTGGCTGTTACCTCTCAGGGTTTTACAGTTACTTTCTTGATACCCAATGACACTGGGTATCTTTTTTAAAAAAAGTTATTATTTTTATTTTATATTATTGAGTGCATTGCCTGCTCATAAGTGCACCCATGTCATGCAATGCCGAGGGAGGTCAGAAGAGAGTGTCAGAGCCCCTGGAGTTAAGGTTGCTAGCTGCCATGTGGGTGCTGGGAACCAAACCCAGGTCCTCTGCAAGAGCAGCCAGTGCTCTTAACTACAGAGCCATGTCTCCAGCCCCAACACTGGGTATCTTTATCAAGTATGTATTGACTCTTCCCAATACTCCGATGAATTATTTTAGGGTTAGCAAATTTTTTTTACTAAAGGAGGGAGCAATAGCAAAGTCCTATCTGAAAGCAACCCAGACAGCCAGAAGGGAAGGTTAGAGAATGTCAGAGTCATGATCTCTGGCTACCAACCTCACCACAGTCTAATATATCTTTAGTGCAGAATGAGCCCATCTGCTTAAGAGCTCACCAGGGGTAGAAGCTGGATGATATCTGATTTACTGACTTGTTTTCTGGTTTCCATGCTAGTAATGTACTAATTATAATTAGGGAAAGATACTGGCATAAGCAGACCCACCCACGGTTAAAAACAGACAGCCAAGCATGGTGCCACACACCTTTAATCCCAGCACTCAGGAGCCAGAGGCAGGCAGATTTCTATGAGTTTAAGGCTAGCCTGGTCTACACAGTGAGACCCTGTCTCAAAACAAAAAAACAAAAAACCCCAAACTCAGAAACATAGTCAAAGACACACAGACACACAGACACACACACACTTGTAAATACCATCTGTGGGCTGCTAGGACCAAAAAATTCCTCAAAGGCCATCCAGGGTACTGGGCTAAGTTACAGGGATCGTACACACCAACTGTTATCTGTGAACAGAAAAGACTTGCTGAGAGTCACATTACCATGTCAGTTGTACAATACAGATACTTTTATCATGCTGTTCTGTGAAGCATTAGAAATTAAACACTTGGTGAAGGGCCAAAGGGAAGATATGAAAACCTTGAGCTCTCAGCCTACACTACAGAACTTCTTGATGGGCTGGAACCAGGCTATTGCTCCCTGTGTTCCTGGAATGGCATGGGACATAGCAGAAAGCAGGGGCTACAGAGTTCAGAAAGAAAAAAAGACTGGAAGGAAGGGATTGAAGGAAGGGAGAGGGAAGTGGGGGAGGAGAAGACAAGGAGGGAGAAGCAGGACAGGTCACCTTCAGGACTTAGAGGAAATCCTCCTCTAGGGAACATAAGCTATAACAATGGCTCATTTGTGTGTGATGAGAAAAATAAAACCAAAGAAGAGTCACTGCTGTTCTAAGTCTATAGTCAGTTCAAAAGCAGAGGCCTCAATGCTGGGGACATATATTTCTTCCCACCCCTCCCCATGCCATTCCCTTAACCCTGAATTCCATCTGGAAAACGGAAAACTCCAACTTCACATTCCACCCCTTGAGTGTTCCTTGGTCGAAGTCTCCCGTCCTCCCTACTCTATAGACCTTCACACAATATGTAAAATGTACTTTTTCAGCGCCCCCCCCCCCGTCTCTGTCAGCATTGGGCACCCAGCACCTGGTCTTAATTTCTAAATACTGTTCTCCAAAAAAAGGAATCAGGGCTCCTGGAACACAAGGCTGATCCTAGGCTGGGATGGAGAAAATAAAGGATGCTCCTAGGCCATCTTAAAGTACCAGAAAATAGAAAGTGCTCAAGAAAAAAGGATGAAACCATATCAGGGAAATAAAGACAGCAGCCCAAAGAGCTTCAATGGCCCAAACTGAAGCAATCAGGGGCACAAAAATAAGTAACCATGGTGGGTTACACTCAAACTGTCAGTGTCTATGGACCCCAACAGTAGAATGCTTGTCTAACATGTGAGAGGCCCTGAATTCCTTCTTTAGCACTACCAAAGAAATCTATGGTCCACACTCATAAAGGAATAAATAAGTTAATAAATGATGGTAAGAGGACAAGTTACTCTTGAGGGCTTTCAGTGTGCATAGGTACTACACTCTTCAGGAAAAGAACCACCCCCCCCCGTCCTCTCTGAGGGTGGCAGGACTACGGGACTCATTTCTAAAGTAAAACAGTAACCCTGCAGTAGAGAAAGGCATATAGACACAGGCATCCTCTGGTAGGAGGTGAGGACAGGGGAACTTTACCCACTGAGTGGGTGTGGTGGTGCACACCTTTAATCCCAGGCAGAGGCAACTGGATCTCTGTGAGTTGTAGGTGAGCCTGGTCTATATAGGAAGTTCCAGGCCAACCAGAGCTACATAGTGAGTCCCTGTCTCGAAAAACAAAAACAAAACAAAAAACTTAACCATATCCTAGTAATAATAATAATAAAAAAACCCCCGATATCTGAAAAACATAATAGAACAGTACATTTCAAAACTGTCAAGTTCAGCTGGGCATGGTGGCACATGCCTTTAAACCCAGCACTTGGGAGGTAAAGGCAGGCAAATCTCTTTGAGTTCCACCTCTTTGAGTCCAGTCTGGTCTATATAGTGAGTTCCAGGCCAGCTGAGGCTACAGGGAGACCCTGTCTCAAAAACACCCTCCCCCCTAAACCCCTCACCCCCCAAAACTGTCAAGGTCATTGAAAACAGAAAGTCTAGGAAATCATTGCAGACCAGAGGAAGCAGACAGAACAATAAAAACACGGGGTGTTATCTTAGATAAGAAAGAGCTATTGAGACACCAGATGCCTTTACTTGAGATGTCCTTCTCAGTAACTAGAACACTGTCAGCAGCCAGGGAATCTTAACAACAGGAGGTCATGCTGAGCGCTGCCTCATACTACGTGAGACACAGTATTCAACCCGTAGGGCTTCAGTTGCTCTGTGTGAATTATGGGAAAGTCACTGCACCCACTTCACAGGGCTGCAGTGGGGAGACCCTGGGCACCCAGCATATGGCATGTACATAGTGCCACCAACAGTAGGGGGTCTTGCCTCACACCTCCAAGGGCACTCAGTGACCCACCTGTGTCTGTATCAGACTCCTCGGAAAATTCTGACACAACTGGTCCAGTCCATGAACTTGAATTTGGGAACCACTACAGAAGGTCGTCTTAGTGCCAAGAGAAAAAAATAAATCTGTGGGCTTACTTTTCATATCCTCAAACCTCTAGACTGGCTCTGGGGCTTCCCATGTGCCTTAAAATGAGGCGTGGGTGCCAAGAGCACCAATAAACTCCCCATGGGAACCAGACAGAAACACAGAACACATAAACGCAGAACGTTAGGAGAAGCCCAGGGTGGGGAGGGAGGGTGTCTCAAAGTGCTCGCCCAAGTTTCTGTGGCACTGCTCCTTCTTCACTTTTCCATAGCTGTGGTTCTCAGATCTGTGCTTAGTCACCCCAACTGGGGAGCTTTAAAAACTATTGCTGCGAGACCCCAACTCCAGAGGTTCTGATTAACTAGTCTGGGGTCTGGCTTCCGAAGTCTGTTTTGATGCTGGAGATAGAACCCAGGGCTTTATACATGCCTAGCAAGCACTCTAGCACTGAGTCTACCCCTACTTCTCTGAATGATAATGACAGCCAGGCTGTAGACTCAACAGTATGTAGCAGGTTTTCGAAAGGATGGACCACCATACAACCCGGGTTACAGCTGCCTGGAGGCTAGCTGTGTTCATGTGCACGTGCACACACCCATCTGAGGCCTCACTTCTGAGTAAGAGCACCCACATATGCAGCAGATACCATAACATTATTTTTATTTTATTTGAGTATTTTGTCTGCATGTATGTAAGGGCACCCATGTTGTGCAGTGCTCATGGAGGTCAGAAGAGGGTGTCAGATCCCTTGGAACTGGAGTTATGGATGGTTGTTAGCCATGTGAGTGCTGGGAACCAAACCCAGGTCCTCTGCAAGAGCAGCCAGTGCTCTTAACTGCAGAGCCATCTCTCCAGCCTCCATTCACAACATTCTTATGTACAATCATTTTGGCATTAACATCTTACAGCCTGAGAAAAGGAATGCTTGCTTAAAATACGGTTTACTACACCATATATCTATCCTTATAATTGACTATTCACTGGATAACTGTGTCTTCTTGATTCAGAGAGACCATACATTATGAAACACACTTTTGAAATGGGTAGAAAAAAAGGAGAACCACCACATTAAATATACACAAATGAAAGGAAGTCCTATTTTAGAAAAATGATCAACACTTAGAAACAGTCACTTGAGAAAGCAAACAGGATACCCTCACATCTGTGTCTCTTGCTGCTCTGGAAGCTCTGAGGGCTGTGCTAGACAGTGCTGGACTCATTTTCTCATCCCTGGTACCCTGGTACCTGTTGCCAGCTCCTAGTGGTTGAACAGATGACTGAACTGGTCAAGTTCCCCAGACCCTGATGTACACACACCTCCTGCCCACAATGCCTGGGCATGGAACCTGGAGGTAGACAGAGGGAGAAGGGCAGTGTCTGAGTGACTGAGACCTGTGATTACAACCACAGTGTAGCATCTTGCAAGTTTTTTCCCATCTTTCCTTTCTTCACACTAATCCAATGTCAATTTTAGTGCCAGAATTCTCCTAGATGAGACTGAGAGGGCCTAAAGGAGGGTCTGCTGGCAAGCAGGAGAGTTCTGAGCCCCCATCCGAGGCTTTTTCTGCATACAAGTGTCTCCCTAACACTGTGTCTCTCTTCTGCTCTGGCCACTGCCACTCCTCTGCTGATGGCACATTATTATGTTGCCCTCTGGAAACCCAACAGAGAGCATCTTCCAGGTACACTACATGAACTAAGCCACTAGGCTTTCGACTGCATTTTATTTTTAAAAATTCATCAAAAGCACTCACAACTCTTTTATTCACTAAATTGCCCAAGCTGGCTGGCCTCAAACTTCTGATCCTTCTGCTTCAGCCTCCTGAGTGCCAGGACTGTAGTTACATGCTACCACATCTGCCAGTACCTCTAATTCTTTACACAGCAAGGAGAGGGGGAGAAGAACTGGCTTCTCTCTGTCATTCTCGAACATCTGCTAAGGCAGTGGCCTAATGCAGTGGGATGGGCATTGAGTCAGCAGGTGTGTGTGCTAACTCTGCAGCTAACTGATTTCAAGACACAGGGAAAGTTCCTCTCTCACCTACAGAATGAATGGGTTGAGAGGCTAGGGATATAGCTCAGTTGACAGAATATTTGTCTAGCATACAAGAAGCCCTGGGTTCCATCCCAAGCACCACATAAACTTGGTGTGCTGGCACATGCTTGCCTGTAATCCCAGCATTCAGGAGGTACAGACAGGAGGATCAGAAGTTCAAGGTCATTCTTGGTTACATAGAACATTAGTTGGAAGCCAGCCTGGAATAGGAAGTTCTATCTCTAGCACAAAAGGAAGGGAAAGAGAAAGAGAAAGGAAGTGAACTTTGGATGACATTGTAGAGGAAAAAAAAAAAACCCACAGTTACAGTACAAAGCACCAGACTACATTAAAGCTTAGTTCTACTGGATGTCTAAAGCAATTCAAGGAGCCACTTCAGAAAAGCCTAGTGAATCCAGAAAATGACACTCTTAGAGAGATGCTGGGTTTCAGCTGTCAAATATGACCCTATAAACATGTAGGCTCATGTAGAATGCCCCAAGTAACTTATTCTTCGGTGACTTTTGGCAACTGACTTACATCTCTGTGCCCTCCTTTCCCATCTCTCAAGTAATTCTTATCTGTACTTGGCACTGAGAACAAGGCAATCAGAACTGAGAACAACAGCCCTGCTGCAGTCACCACACTGACATCTTGCATCTTTTCCATCTCTCACAGACAGTATTTCATCATTAGCTCTGAGGTTACCCCTTTATAACTGGCAGAGAAAAGAGGGGACTGGGGTCTGGCTAATCAAACATTTTCTGGGTCTAGGTTT